TATATATATATATATATATATATATATATATATATATATATATATATCTCACTGTTCAAATTCTGCTCTGCTGTCAATTCTTTGAGTTTGGAAGATTATATTTCAGGAGGGAAGGATATCTTATGTAACAAAAGAGTGTTCCTTGCTCACCTTGAATATGCTAATAATCTACATGAAGTTTTTAGTTAGCTCAAGGCCTGAGCTCTAGCTTCTAGTAGAGTCCACTGGCTGATCTGGCATCATGGGAGTAAATCAAGGTTGGTTGCCTTTATATTATCATCACCCTAAAGGACTTTGGAAGAACAGCAGAGAGGTTAATTGAAAAGAATGGCACAATGTGGGGGCTGGGGCTATAGCTCAGTGCTTGCCTCCAATGTGTGAGGCACTGGGTTTGATCCTCAACACCACATTAAAAAAATAAAATAAATAATAATAAAGATATTGTGTTCATCTACAACTAAAAAATATTTTTAAAAAAGAGTGGCACAATGTGCATGTGTGTGTTCATATGTGTGCATTTACATATAAATATATACATATATGTACATATACACATATGCATGTGATATATAAACCAATTCTAAACATCATTTATAGGCTTAATTTGTGCTATGATTCCAGTGTTCATGCTGAAATACCTTTTATTTATCTCACTTAGGAGTTAGGGAAGCACTTTCTTCTTGATTCATATTTTGTTTTATACTTTCTAATTGTGATATTTTTAATGAGATCCATTATTTTCTGCAGGGCTGATTACTGTACTTTCATGTTAGTTTCAGAGAGAACAGCCTGAAACTACTCAGACTTTTATGACTGAAGTAGAAATCTTATTTCTCAAGAAAGGATTTGGTGATTTCTGTTTATTTTCTGCTATGTTTGATTCTATCCTAGCCTCTACTTCTCTTAGACTAGTCATGAGGCAGGAAGTCATTCCTTGCTTGTGGCATCTTGCACCTCATCCCTTTTTGTTGTCTCTTCCTCTGGTGGTGAAAAGACTCCTTATCCTTTGCTGTGATTTGGGGAGCTGTAGACAATGTCCCTCTTCCCTCACCCATTAATCCAACTCACCTGTCTCTAAGGATGTTTTCTAGTCCTGGTGCCAACATCTCCCCTTGCTCCTAAGTGCCAAGAGCTGCCTGCAGGCCAGACTTTAGCCAAAGTTATACTGCTTGATGCTCAGTTTATATAAATGGTGCTATAAATCTGTTAACCTTTGATAGCATGAGACAATTCTTTTAGGCTTCAATTTCTGCCAACTCAGGGAATGTTTTGTCTTGGAAGGAGTTTTACAAGTCACAGTAGGGCTTTTTGAAAGGGCTAGTCTTACAAAATCTGAAAGCATAGTGAGAAAAACAGTCCAAGATGGCAATTAATTTACCTAGTGAATTTTAATCATTCATTAAACAATTAAAATGCTTAAAGGAGGCAAAATAACTTGGGGTATTTATTTTGTTTTTGACATCCTCTTTTTAAAGTAACTTTTGATTATGAAAATAAAATGAAATATGTTTCTCATGTTTCAGGAAGTCCTAGAATCATAATTTTGCTTCTTAGCAAGATAATTGTGCCTGGCCTAAACGATGTAGAAATAGCTGGCATATATTTGTCACTAGGCAACAAATGAGTCTTTTGGGCTGATTAAGACCCAGTGGTGTGACTGAGTCCCTTCAGATCTTTGCTCTCTGGCAACAGCAACATCTGCATTTTCTATCAAATACTCAGTACGTGGCTTAGTGGGGATGTGCTGTGTTTCTTAACTTGGCAAAAAAACATATTATCTTTCTTTTAATGAACTTTACTTATTACTTTCAAAAGTATGTATTAATACTGAAAAGTATTTAAGAACACAGGCACAGGGGTGCGCAAGCGCGCGCACACACACACACATTAAAAATGAAAGGCTAAAAGAATGATCAAAAGTGAATTAGGAGAAGACAGTTCTACTAATTGTTTCAGAAGAATTCCATAGTGGAAATCTACATCCTAGATGAAAATTTCTGCATCATGACAAAGAGGGACACTTGAAGGCACTTTTTGACTGATATAAAAAAATTTATCCTGTAGTCTGTTGAAAAATAAAAATTAGTCATTAAGATTTAGGAGAATTTTGATGTTAAAAGTGATATTTTGTTAAAATATTCAAACAATTGATTTAAAATTGAGATTATTTTTGTTTAATAAAATTTGAACAAAAAAGAAAATTTCCTAATAATTCTTATTTTTCTAGGCATTTTTACATATTATACTCTATATGGTATTTATGTATCTTAATCAACATATAACATTTCCTCATGTGATTAAACAACTTAAAGTTATTTTAAATGATTAAGTATTCTATGGATTTGTGTTTCATTATAAACATTTTCTCCTTATTAGGAATTTAATTTGTTGTCATTGTTTTATTATTATGAACAAGTTAAACTGTTTTGAACATAAATATTTGTATTTTGAACAGTTTCCCAAGGAAAGTGTACTCATATTAAGGTTACTAAATCAGGATAAGGACCCTGCTGTATCAAATTCTCTTCAGAGCTGTGATAGCGGTTGGCATTGCCACCATTCATGCATGTGATTTCTTTCTCACTACTGCCTCTCCAAATGTGAAAAATATCATTTAAAATAACATTTGCTAATTTGGAAGTCTAAAAATGCTTTTGTTTGATTTGTATTTCTTTGCTTCCTGGAAAATTTTTATTTTAGACATTAAATGTAAATAGATGTCTCTAATCTTGATCCAGACAAAACATTGAGCAGACAATGTTTAAAAAGGTAAAGTGCTATCAGCCATGCTCCTTTTCTTTTTATTCTAATGGGGCCATTGACATTGTGAGAGGCCTTGTGCAAAGTTTTTTCTCTCAACCACTCTCTGAGATGGGTTTGCAGATTTGGAGATTAGTAGAATGAAAATCAGAGCTAGGTGCACTTTTCAAGCCACAAAGGTTTAACTCAGAGGCTGTCAGTGCTCTTTTTACTACACTATATTTAAATAACCTAAGGAACTAGATGACAAATACTATTTGTTTTATGCTGTCTTAACTATAAGTTGTGTCATTTGGTAACTGGTAGGATT